TATGTTCTCTTAAGCATTTCCTCTAAGCTGGCCAGTTGGTCTATGAACATCTGGCTCTGAAAGTTTGGGAGGAGAAACACGGCATCTATAATCTCATTGGAGTCTTCTGTACGGATGCTAATCACTTCACTGTCTTTTCCACTGGAGTGTCCTATTCCTACTACCAACCGTGTCACATTGCTGCTTGTTAATTAAGCTTAAATCTCAAAACGACATCTCCTCTTCGCTCGCTTCTATATTAAATTTAACTTTTAATTATTCTCGGTGAGTGAATAGAGAGGTTGGGAACTGAGCTTACAACTGCTGTGAGCAATAGTATGCTTTTGCCTGATTATTTACCCTAACAACTCTCAGGTTTCGTCGCTCAATGACTAACTCTGCCTCTCTTTAACAGATCTGAACGAAGTGATTCCACCTAATGTTTCCAGATGAGATCATTATGTACCCGTCCATTCTTCGTAATTCTTTATAAAGTCTATACAAATTGTAGGATGTTAATCACGACAGACAGATTTTATAACAGAACCACAACCAATGTGCTAAGCACAATATACAGACTTTGTCACAGTAGAACAGTCATTACGACCTTACTTTGTTGTTAATGGTGACAGACAGGCACGTGACAGTCCACCAATCGGCACAATCAGACCTGTCTTTCGTGATTATTTTTTAATCTAATGTAAACGCCCACCATTTATGGACGAATATTGTATTCTGTCTTTCATATGTATGTAAAGTAATTCGCTAGTCATTTTGTTCATACGTCATTACTGTTCAGTACGTTTTTGTCTTTCGTTGAATGACTGTTGCTCTTGTGTTGTCATATTTGTGTAATTGTATTATTTTCTTTATATTTTAGAAACAGATAAAGTTTATGTTAACTGTAGCAAGGCACGAATTCCGTAACGACAGTACTGATAGTGAAGACAAAATTTGTAGGCAAAGTTAACACCACATAGAACTGCCGCCGTTTTTATGATCCTTCATGTAGACGTATGTCAAAACTTGGACACTTTTCTGAAACCCGCCATCCATAAGAATGACAACTACTTGTGGCGTGGAAGGCTTGTAAGGCGTTTTCTAACCCTGAGTGAAGTTGTGGTGAGAGCTGTCTACTAGCCAAATTGGTAGACAGTAATTCACGTCAATGTTTACGTTCTCAAGATTTGTCGTGAGAAAATGTGAACAAAGATTGATTCAAAACCTACCACAGCAGACTTTGCGTAGGCGGATGCAGTTAACATATAGAGGATTTGACATTCAAGAAACAGTCACAAAGAGATGAAAGATTAATTTTAATTGAGAAACAACCAATCGGAAGACTGTGTTTGTTTGCTTAAATATCCATAGTAATGTACACGAAAATATATATAAATATGCGTTGATTTCCTTAATAAATGATCTGTTGCCAGACTCTTGCCTTCTGTCGTTACAAAGTGACCGAAACTTTCCTAACATTCCTACTGAAGTATCTCTAACGCAGTCCTCTCTTTCCGTTTTGTATAACTCATATTTTTGCACGTTCTAGCACCTTGATTCACATTCATCATCTCAAGCCACATCAGCTTCGTCATTCTTTTATCCCGCTAAATTAACCTCCCCTAGTTTCTAGTTCGCTGGTTTTCTAATCTGTCCTAAGCTTAGGAAAAGGGTGGTTAGTGAGAGTGGGACTAGCGACCTTTCGCCAAAAATAAATCAGACCGCTACGGAAACTTCGATGCACAAGAAAAATATAAAAAACAAACTTGTTCTTCTCTGGAATCGGTAAGACGAGATGACTTGTGTTGGTGGGAGCCTCTGGGATGCCAGCCAGCGAATGTGTCTCCTTTTGATAGAATCAAAAACAAACATTAGGACGTAGGATGTTCACACAACTTAGGAAGCTAGGGAGGCTGCCCAGGTAGCGTAAGGTATAAAAACGGCATGGAAGTGTTAAAAATTTGCCAGAAATGGTAGGATTGATGTAGGCTATCGAAATTGTCATCTGGAGAGTCAGCTATCTACTATGGTCATCCCTATGACAACAACGGGCACACTGACGTAGTGGTAATCATGGTGGCATCAGTAGCAGCCGAAGCCCTAATGCAGTAGAAAATAATCCCATCCAGGACAATGACAACGAGATTCGACTCAAAAGATAAACAGGTTTCAGTTTTCCAGTGCTACGCAAATACAGACAACTCAAAACGAGGGAAGGAGGAAGATTGATTTAGACAATAACAAAGAGTAGTGGGAAAAGTCCAAATTGGTGACAACGGAATCGTAATGGGTTCCGCCTTATGGACACACCAAAAGCCAGATAGATTTCATCTTAATCGGAAGAGGGCGGAGACATAGCATACTTGATAAAAAACCTATAACGGAAGCAGCTGTGGGCTCAGACCGTTATCTCGTTCAAAGAGCCTCCTGACGACACCAAGAAAGCTTTCAGAACGACTATAGATAAGCCACATTTCACTTATAACTCTCAAAAATTGAATAAAGAAGCTGCAGTCAATACCCACACTGCAGACACGCAGTGGTATCAGTAGGGAAAACTGTGTTGAAGAATATTAGAACTCTCTGAAGTTGATGTTCAAAGAAATGTGTGTAGCCGTTTTGGAAGCGCTAAGATTGACAAAGTCTCCCTACAGACATCTAGAGGCCAATACAAGCGAAGAGGATGGTGAAATGGACAACAGAAGAAGCTGTTGTCAGTGTGCACTGAACTGAATGAAGAGGTGAAGAAGAGTGCGTAGAAGGACAAAAGACGATGCAAAGACAAACTGTCAACTGAAGCAGAACTGGCAGGCCGTAGGTGGAAGAAACTTCAGGACATTATTTCAAATAACCAGGCTGCTATCCGAGAAAAGACCAAAGCAGACAAAGTCAACAAAAGATGGTTAAAGGAGGCCGATTACCGAAGGAAAGAGACAAAAATGGCAAGGGGATGATCACTGAGAATGACTCTTGGATCGACCGTCACCACCTGCAACTCGACCAGAAATACGTGCAACAGCACGCACAGAACGGCCAGTTGACATTAATACTCTAATAAGGAGGAAGTCTTGAGGGCAGTCAAGTTACTGAAGGCCGGAATGGAAGTGAGACAAAACAGGATTCCCCATGAGGTACTGAAAACGGATCCAGACGACGCGACTACTGAGGAGAGTTTGGAAGGAAGGAAACGCGTCTATCGATGAGAAGAAAGGCTACCTTGTTAAACTAACAAAGAGGAGAGAATCAAGCCGTTGCAGTAACTCGTGCCGAATCATCCTCCTCTCCAAAACATTACATCGCGCTACCCTGGAGAGACTAAAAGATGTTCTGGATGCAGGACTCTGACCGGAACAATGTGGATTCAGGAAGGGCATGTACCTACCAAATTTGAAATCTACGCATCATCGGACAAGGCATAGAATATCAGCCGAATTCGTGCCTCTTTTTCACTGATATTGAGAATGCATTTAACAGCATTGACTACGAAGAGATCTAGAACCTGCCTTAACACTACGGAATGGAGTGCCCAAACCTCGTCCAACGGCTGTATGACGAATCGTATATTAAGTGATTCACAACGGAAAACTCAACAATCTCGATGAAGTGAAGACGAGAGTAAGATAAGGTTGCCTCTTGTCTCCGATGATATTCCTGATTGCGATAGACTGCACTATGTGGCAGGACATGGGTAGCGAAAAGTCAGGAATATGTTGGGCGGACGAGAGGATCCCAAGAGATTTGGACCTCACAGATGATTTATATCGGGTGTCAAACGAACTCGGAGATCCACAGGAGAAACAAACAAGTATGCAGAGGAGGGCAGCAGCGAACGGAGGAATTTAGGTGAAAATAGAGGAGAGTGATGTGATGAAGTTACCTGACGACCATCACCACGTCCAACGGTAACAAGCACTGATCATCTCAACGGGGGATTCGAAGCAGGCCACTTCTTTCACTTATCTAGGCAGCATCGTTTCAACTACATGAGGAACGGATGAATATGTTGAAACCAGAGTCAGAAATGTAGGACAGGAATCCATTAATCTAAAATCAGTTTGGAAATCTGCTACACTCAGTATAAGGAACAAGGCTCAGATTTTCAACATTAATGTCGATCAAGTCAGTCAGTTCTTCTGGGTTACACAAAACATCTTCAACAGCCAGCTGCAGACTTTTATCAGCAGCTGCCTTCATTTCGAAGATCAAATGGCCAGGAGGGATGAGCGCCGATAAACTCATAACGAATAAACCAAGAACCTAGTGACCCACAATTATTGCGGACAGAATGGAGATGGGTTGGGTACTCGCCTGGGAAATCGTTGGCTGTCAGCGTACGCCAGGAACTTGCGGATAACCCGTAGGGACACGACAGATGAGGTGTCTGAGGGGATTCAACTATGAATATCTTGACTGTCAGCCTAACAGACAACACTGGCAGCGAATGTCTATGCTGAATAGTGTTTACAAAGTACTTACAGAGCAACATAGGAAATTACCACAATTATGTATTTCCTGACATTCTGATTTTAAGGTTGATTTTGAGAGCTTTAAATCGACCCATTCGATTCCATTAACTCTACATACTGCTAAGATGGAACTTTATGGAGACCACATATTTATAGTTCATATTTTTGCTATCAGTTATAGATGGAATGTGGAAATCGAACATGCTTTCGTTCTGCTTAGTTTCAGTTGGGAACATAAATTCAGAAATCATATTATTTTCACAGAAAGCTTTTGTATCAAATAATTACCTGGACTGATGACGGACGAGAATACGGAAAAAGAAGATAGATGGTATCGTTGGATGTTTATTCGGTAAACATGCTGGCAGATGAGGAGTCTTGGCTGACAGTTCGGAAGAATGGCAAAGACAGTGTTAGATGTACTTATGGAATCTTAAGCTATCATTTTCTTTTTACTAGTATTCTGGACATCATCATTCATGCTCAGTAAACTGTCGACGACACACTGACTCAATGTCTTCTAACAATCAACATGTAATGTGCTATATAGCGTTAAAAATCTGAAGGTCACTTGGTAGGACGATTTTTTGAAAACACACGTGACATGGTTGTCTCCGATACGTCTTCCGGAGAGTTGTCGAACTTTGACATATTAGATGCAGTCATAAAAAAGCTGCAAGCAAGAAACATTACCAAACTATTTCCAGTACAGTTCAAGACGTATGATGCCATACTTTCCGGTAGAGATGCAGTTGTTCTTGCAAGTGAGTTGTTGTCAGTTAAATCACTTTCAAAGGGACCGGCACCGGTAAAACTTTGGCATTTTCCCTTCCATTGATCAATGTGCTGGTTAAAAAACAGAAGACGATTTCAAAAACGCCAGTCGTTATTGTTTTGGCCCCCACTCGTGAATTAGTTACACAGATTGCATCAGACTTCGAGTCGATATGTGTTAACGGCATCAAAGTTACTTCAGTCTATGGAGGCGTTCCTTACAAACCGCAGTGTAAGTTATATTCTCTCTGCTTTACTTCGGTGAATAGGTGATGCGATTCGCTCCGGTTGTCATATTGTCGTTGGAGCTCCTGGTCGTGTAATCGATTTAATAGACAAAGGCGTTTTGAAGCTGGCTGGTGTACAACATGTTGTCCTCGATGAAGTCGATCGCATGTTAGACATGGGTTTTAGCAAAGATGTTGAAAAAGTTTTGTCCGGCGTATATTCAAGTGATTCGTCAAGGCCAAAACCTCAGACACTTCTTTTCTCAGCCACTATGCCTTCGTGGGTATCATCAATAGCTAGTAAATATCTCTCAGACGATGTTTTCCAACTTTCTTTGATAAATGAGCAAGAAACGAAAACGTCCACAAATGTGACGGTAATTCCTGAGTTATTGTTAATCTTCTCAGCATTTAGCATTGCTTTGTCCTTACGAAAGTCGTGCATCTACTTTATCCGACGTAATAAAAGTTTACTGTAAAAGTCGAGATTCACGGTGCATTGTGTTTTGTGAACGCAAGAAGGATGCAGACGAGCTGGCCGCAAGTGAAGTTATGCCATCTGATTGCCATGTTCTACATGGCGATGTCCCTCAAGATAAGCGGGAGCTGGTCCTTCAAGTAAGATTTTTTTCCCCTGTCATCTGACTTCGGCTTATGTTAGCATATTATGGTTTGAGATGTTCTGTATTACTTTTGTCTGGAAATGTCAATATCGCGGATATCAACAATTCTCGTTCCTGGCTCAGGTTGCTCCATTTTCTTTGTTGTGGTAAATGTCGTAAAGCGCTACAGAGCAAGAAAAAATGAAGAAGCAACTGCAAAAAAGTCAAACACACATATGTATCTATACGGTTTCTAGCTCTGGTTCCCGGGTTTATGGTAGATGTCACACAGGAAATCTTATCATCTGAGCTGCATGGACCACTAGTTAATTGGTTCTAGATGTTAAGTAGTGTCCTAGCCTTTATTTATTTATTTTTATTCCTTTACGTTCCCAGTGGAACAAAGGGCTTCAAGCTACAGCTTTGTGGTTTCGGTAGCAGTGGTATTTATTTCTATTGTATGGGGTCGCTAGCCTCATATCCAGCCTTCCCTCTTCACCATTTTTATTACTGGCTTGGCGAGGTGAAGGAGTGCGTCGGCCAGGAATCAAACCCCGGACCACCTTGGTTGGCGAGCATTCTACCACTGTGTCGCCGGCGCACATTGTCTTCGCCTGGTCACTTCTTTCTTATCTTCGTCAAAACCCTTCGATAGCAGTATATAAGTACAGGCAGCCAATAGTGGTAAACAGTCGTATAGAGCCACATTTATAAATGACTTGCTGTTGTTCAAGATTAGACTTGATATGTGCCTCCCACGCGGTATTCTCATTGGAATCGTAGGGTACTGTGGGGTCAAGTTTGATGTTTGTGTAGTTAATTTGACTCGGTGCACATTCGAGTATCTTGCATGACAAAAGATTTTGCTTTTGAGAAGTTCGCACTTCAGAGATCAAATGAATAGAGGCTACTCGTGGAGTAAAAAATTAGTTGTTTTCAGTTTAAACCTTGGTACGTGGAACTGTATTGATTGGGAAAGTAAAAGTTCGGTTAGTATACCTGTGGCAATATCTGAAACAAAGACGGTTTTCTCACATTTGTGATTTCCCAGATATGACCATGTATTGCATGTTTATGAAATGCAGAATATAAAAATAACATGAGTTAGTATTATGCTTGTGTTTTTTGAATGAATTTATAGTGTAGGTATAGCTCCGAGATCCAGAATAAACATCTCATTGATAGTTGTCCATGTGCCGTTCGATCGAATGGATCCGTAAGAACAAGAACTAGATAGCTGAAGTCCATCGGCAGGGACACCCAGACCTAGGTTACTTCATATTCGCAGATCCGCCTTACTGACGAGTGCCAGCTAGTACGAAATCCAGATTCAAGGCCTCCTGTCCAACCATCTAGTATCAACAACACAAAGTGCCCTGTGTTGGCGAGCCACATAGAATGGTGACCACACTGGTAGAATTCAGTTTGCAGCAGGCAGAGGACTGGATACACTACACTAGTTACTGTCTACTGTCCAATCAAAGTATTTAATCTATTGGCGTCCAATATTATGAACAGTCTCTGACTTCCGTTCAATTTTACCTTTTCTCTTAAAGCCACATTATTTTCTTCATCCTTGTGTGTGGTTTTGCGAAATACCAGTCTTCCTGAAGTAGGTCTCACGCGTGTCCTATGTCCCTTCACCGAAGATACCATAAATCCACTAGTTTTTTGCATGTCGCGTAACTACGTGGACCTACTAGAATTGCTTTATCAAACTGACATAGTTCATCTTCAATTTTACTATAGAAATTTCGCGACGGCAAATATCACACTCTACTCACAACTAATGTATCTGCACGTGGACTAGATGTTCCGAGTGTTGATTTAGTAGTACAGTGTCACCCTCCGCGGGATTTTGAAGACTACATTCACCGTTCTGGTCGTACTGGTCGAGCAGATCGCTGCGGTACTTCCATATGCTTCTTCACTTCTAGTGAGCGTGGCATGTTATCAAGGATTGAAAACATGGCAGGTATAACGTTTCGTCGAATTTCCGCTCCTACAATCCATGACATTACCAGTGCATGGGGAGAAGAAATATCACAGTTAGTTCTAGATTCTTTTTTGTTTGTAATATATGTAATGTATCCCATTCTTTAATTTTCATCTTATTTGATTTATCATTTCCTGCGTAAATTACGGTAGCATAAGGTCAAGTAAAAAGTCGAGGCCAGAGTGACAGCTTTCCGTATGTCTGCATTAAAAGCTAAGTAAGATTAGTGTCATTTGGTGCATCACCATTGGTTTTCATCCTTTCAGACGTACACTACATGACTGCATAAGTATGGACAAAGTACTGTGGTCATCAAGGTATACTTTTTCGGCACTTTATTTAAATCCAAATATGTGGTTCTCAGCATCTGTACAGTAGTAATCAGGTAACGTACATCTAACTGTGATTCGTACTTCTGGTAAGTGACTTTATAGATTGAGTCCATGTTTGGATTTGGCCACTCCTAACTGGTTCCCAGCTCGATTCGACCTCATCTTACATTGATTGTCATGGTAACCAATGACTGAGTATGATTAACGTGTATCCTAGCTACTTCAGTCTACAACCTACACGGTGATGGTCATTACTTTTGGTCTGACTGCCACTGTCCTGAATTTGATGGCATTGTAGGACCCTTTGTGACATCGTTTCCGGTCCTAGCTCGTTCAGTCCCCGGCACATGCAAGCAGAATTACGACTTGAAAAAAAACTAAATGATGCTCTGTTTAATCAATGCATGGCTTTTTAATCTGCTGAATGTTTAGCGTGAACACATTGTTATGGATATATCGACGAAGATGTTAGCCTTTAGACCTTAGTGTCATCCTAAGTAAATGTGCTCATTTATGCAGAAAGGATCAAAACAATAATATCTGATGGTATATTTTTAAGAATTAGTAGTTCTATTTTTTTTCTCGAAGGTTTTTAACGCTCTTTATCTCATTATGTGGCTTGTAAAATGTTGTGTTCCTAGAGGTGACATTTTTATAGTGTAGGCTTTAGGGAATTCGTAGAAATAAACGTTTAAAAATTGAATAGTCTGGATAAATTCATTGAATATGAACCCATGAAAACTGAGTTGTTGAAAAAATATTGACAGATTTTCTGTATGCAAAATGTAAATCTCTGCTACACCCTGTAAAAATCAATGCATAGGAAATGAACGAAGGAGGTGCATCAGACCTGTTTTGGTCATCGGGAAGTGGAAGTCTAGAGAGCTAGTAGGCCCACTCGACTAGACTGTTTTCAATGTCCAGAGATCTTGGAGATGCATCAGGATTACAAGAGGCTTTTCACGTGTTCAGTGTGAAGTCACTTTCTCCCACTACTCTCCGGGTGTGATTTGTAATGTTATATGTCAGGCCTACACGTAAATACTGCTCAGATATTTTTGTGGTGCAGATCATGCTCGGCTGTAATGTGTTGCTGTCTTTTGTTCGAATGTGTTTTAAATCTTTACCTACAAATTGTTATTGCATCTATCTCTATATGTTCGGTGTGCTCAGTTCTTATCTCACTTGCTTCATGGTTCGGCATACAGTAGACATATATTGCGAAATAATATCATTGCTTAGTTCCTCTACAATCTTGTTACACCTAGTACGGTTGACAACTAATCAGTCATGAGAAATAAAAGTGCATATGAATAACCAATCATATTTTAATAGGTCAAGTAGCTCAGGTTAGGTATGGATTGAAGTCTATTGTTTTCTCTAGAGATAGCTTGGGATTCACGTGATGAATGCAAAGTCCTGCGACCACCTGTAGTAACCTTGAGTTAATGTTATGTGAAATAATTGAGAAACAGTCATCAGTATTGATTTTTTGACGAGATATTAATAAATGTTTTGTAATGGATGATGTTGAACTTCTATTCAGATTAAGTGCATTTGGACTTTCTGTGTGACTTAATAACCAATTAGGAACATGTTCATCCTGACAAAATTGGGACATTCTATGCGCTTTGCCTGTATATGTGTCCCCACAACTTCAGATCAATTTGTAGATGCAGAATTTCGTCCTGTAATCGTAGGAAGAGGAATTGAAAATGTTAAGAAGTGGATTCAGCATAGAATGTGTGCTTGATAGGTAACCGAAGCCTTTGAGTTGTCAGTTGCATGAGTTGATCACCTTTGAATGGCAGTTTAATAAAGGTTGCTGTCTTTTTTAAGGAAGCCATCTCAAGGAGTATCCTCTCTTTGTTTGGACATACAATATAGTTTTCAGGATATCCGTTAGCCAACAAAAGTGAATGCATGAATTGTAGTTCACCAGTTAATGTATCTTGCGGGCCCTTGAGAAGAGACACTTCACTGGGAAACGTTTGTACCCGATAGGAATAAAACTACTGAAATGAAGATATTGTTCCCTGCATGTAGGCTTGGATGATGAGTGAGCGATGTGTGGTTGCAGACCGTTGTCACGTCTGCTACTAATGAGAATGTTGTTTGTTTAAGACTCTTCTACCGAAGATATTTCTTGGTTGGTGAGTTAGAGAATTCTGTTGATGAATATATTGGTGATTATGTGAATGAATTTTTCCATTATCTTCAGGGTGATAAAGCATGATGTCTTTTCAGGAGAAAAGAGGCTCTGGAGATGGTGGGTGGTCAAATTGAGGTTGATTATTTGAAGTTTTGTGTATAGACAGAGGTGGGTAAGTTATTACATCTCTGTGTTGAATCATCTTTATCCTGATGAGCCTACAAATTAGATATCAGATATTGAAGTAGAGTGAAATTTAAAGGTTATTGTGGCAATGAACTGCTCGTGTTTAAGATTAAAGAGAATGAGTAAAAAGAGAAATAATAGGTCAGGTCATCACTTTGATTGTTTGATTCCCGTGAATTCTGTTTTCGCAATTGCTTTGCTTTCATTGTTAGGGTTTTAGCAATTATAATTTACTATTTGATCAGACGTTTCTTCATATCTTTTGCCTGATTAAGTTGGATTTCGTGCTGCGATACGCTTTTTAATTAACTAATTGTACGTTTTGAATGAGATAGACCACTGTAATTCAAGTTCAACATTCAGTAATTGAAGGACAAAACAACAAGGGATACCTTTCGCAATAAAAGTGTTCTCTGAGCTGGTTGGTTTAGTCGCGAAGCTTTCGTCGTCCATCCGGACAACATCTTCAGCGCCATATTTAGCACAAAGTGGAATGATTTCAATTTCTTCATGCGTGATGTAATTGCGTCTCCTGGTTACTATCTTCATATATATATTGACCACTTTCTATTGACTAGGATTTTAAACTTTTTGGTCACCTGATTTAATTTTTATTTATTGGTATATTTCATCTATATTAACGTGTTTGTTAATGGCATTTTCGTTTGAGTACCAGGCTTCTAGGAATTCTCTAGCACTTTTCGTGTTTCCTCTGTTTAAGTTTTTGACATGATCCCAATCAAACTGATGACCATAGTTGTCTGCATGCATTGATACTAACGAATACATATCATGTCTTTTCACGGCTGATGTATGTTCTTGGATTCTGATTCGGAGGGGACGCCTACTTTGACCGATGTAATGCTTGTTACAGTTCATACAATTTATTTTGTAGATGGTATTAATTTTACCCCTTTTTTCTGTTGGATCTTTTGGTTTGCATAATATCCAATTAAGCGATTTTACTGGTTTGTGTGCTATATCTATATCTAACGGTTTCAGTATTCTGGCTGTTATTTCAGAGATATTCCTCATGTATGGTAGAATGAATTTTCTTGAGGTCTTTGATGATGGTTTCTTGTTGGTGTTTCGATTCGACTTTAAACGCTTTTTGATGAAATTTTGTGGATAACCATTCTTTTTGAAGACCGTTTGTAGGTACTTTTCTTCCATTCTTTTCAGCTCTGGAGTGCTACAATGTGTCTGAACTCTTTTAAACAATGTCTGCACACAGTTTCGTTTTTGAGTAACTGGATTATTGCTAGTATAGTTGAGTATTTGATCTGTTTGCGTTGATTTTCTATAAACTTGTGTCTCTAAATCTCCTGTGTTGGTTCTCCTGATTAAGACATCTAAAAATGGGATTTTGTTATCTAATTCTTCTTCTCTCGTGAATTTGATGTCTTCACATATGTTGTTTATTTATTTATGAGTATATTCTAAATCACTTCTCTTAATTATTACAAATGTATCATCAACGTAACGTATCCAGATTATCGGTTTAATTATAGGTAGAGCTATTAATTCTAATCTTTGCATAACGGCTTCAGCTAGTAACCAGGAGACGCAATTACATCATGCATGAAGAAATTTAAATCATTTCACTTTGTGCTAAATATGGCGCTGAAGATGTTGTCCGGATGGACGACGAAAGCTTCGCGACTAAACCAACCAGCTCAGAGAACACTTTTAATTGCAAATCATCCACCTGAGCTACAAATCTTCTCTATTATTTAAAGGGATACCTTTACTACAGATCAGATCAGAGCGAAATCGGAGACACTACGTGGTATCACTGAGGAAACCTGTGTGGCAGAACATTGGAACTAACTCTCTGAGGGTGATACTCAAGGAAACGTGTACAACTGTTCTAGGACGAAGGAGGAGACAAGACAAGGAATGGCTCTGAACGGACACCTACCTGGAAGCTAATAGAAGAGAGGGGAGGAGAGGAGAGTAGGATGGTGAAAGAGAAGATGACTCAATGCAAAGATGGACAACAGAGGGAGAAGCTGAGTTCCCAGCAATCTACACTGCTGCACTGAATCAAGAAAGGCGTGAAGAAGAGTGCTAGGAAAGACGAAGGACAATTCTACAACACACTGTCCAGCAACTGAAGCAGAGCAGTCCGGCAGGCTGCAGGTAAAAGAGACCTGAGAATATGATATCAGATAACGAGGTCACTCGCTCGCTATCTGGGAAGAGATCAATCAACCCAGATGATGAGACCAATAAAAGATGTTCAAGGGAACCTGATTAGTAAGGAGGAGAAAGAAAGAAAACAATGGACTGATCACTTTGAATCTCTCAACCACATAATCGTGTTTATCTTCGTTATTTCGCCTTTTCACGATTATTTCGTTGAATTATGAGCATATGCAGCATTACACTGCAAGTGGTACGTAGACCTGCTCTTCTCACTCTGCCGTTCAGAATACTTGAAACCTATTGCCTTATGATAATATGTTTGATACACGATAGAAAACAGAAAAGGATTATTATGTACCGGTCTTATGTTCTGTTCGGACCAGGTGTACTAATTTTGACTTGTTAATGATTTTAACACTTTTATTTAGTCACTGGTAAGTTTTCCCGATCATGAAAAGTTAGATTTCTGAGGCCACGGCTGACATAACTAGGTCCCGTAACGGTAGAACACAAGAGTATTTGGCAACAGAATTATTTATCGGCAAATGGATGTACACGTTTATCATATTTTAGATTTATAATATACGCACATCTTCCATATTGTGCTTCTTCTTCCTTTCATGTTGATTCACAAGCTTCGTCCATCCATATATATATATATATATATATATATATATATATATATGGACATTATTTAGGGAAATATGTACTTTCGGTAAATTCTCATCAGGCTTTACTTGTACTTAATGTAATAGCAGCCTTAGGCATTTTAAAATGATGCGGTTAATGAAATAGGATCAGAGTTCAGGGTTATGAGTTGATACATAACGATCGAGGTAATCGTAATAACATTAAGGATAAATTCATACAGGCGTTCATATAATCTGGGTAGTGGTGAGGTGTATAGTTAGAATGTGTATACTAGTAGAGGTAGAATGGAAAATAACTATTGTCACAGTGATTAGATAATATAATGATAATAATCAAGTATTGGTTTTTAGGGATTTGATTGGTTACAGGATGTCATCATGAGGGGACATTAGTTAGAGAACCATTGGAAAATCTGCAGGGAGTACTGGATAGCTGTTTCGTCCCAGTTTGGGACTGTTCATCAGTATGCACCCACCGGGATTCGTACCCAGGACTTTCTGGTTACAAGGCGAGCTCGTATACCATTAAGCCACTGGGACCCGATCCGATGGATCCAATGGATGAAGAGTTCCAAACTGGGATGAAACAGCTGTCCAGTACTCCCTGCAGGTTTTCAATGGTTCTCTAACTAATGTTACTTCATGATTTAATGCTGTAAAATAATGAAAATAAATTGTCAAACTGAGATTAAAATGCACAACTGCAGCATAGCATGATATTGATAATACAGTTAGCAGTACAAATAATATGAAATAATGTGTAAATATGTATATTATTTGAGCTGGTTATAATACCTAGTCTAAAAGACCAAGTGTCTAGAATAGCTACCCCTGCTTGTTTCCTTAAGTCCTATTGCCCCTGTAGAACTGGCGTGTGCTACTGACAATATTTACGAGTAGGCTATAGATACAGGCGTATATACATCTATCAGCAATGGGATTTATAGAAACAGGAAGAAACAGCCAGTCTAGGCACTTTATTTTTCAGGTTAGGTATTATAACCGGCTCAAATTAGTTTTCGCGAATCAGATATTTATTCAACTAAAATTTCAGTGTTGCATTCTTGTTAACTGACTTAATCCACCCCTTATGTGTTTTCTGTCTTTCAGGACATTTTTGGCTGTCCCCAAAAGTACTTGGTCAACATTCATGCCAATAGCTCATTCTGTTGCTAATCTACTAGCAAAGCAGTCCAAAGGCAAGAAAGTAAAAAAAGATCCTGGTGATGACTCTGTTTGTGATACCAGTGAAATCAGTGATCGTAAACCTAAATCCAGCGATTTACTTCATGCTCTGTGTTGTGCATTGGCTTGTCTTAGTGGCAAGGATGGAAAGATTGAAAGCAGATCAGCTCTGACAGCTCAATTGGGTCGGACAGCTTACAAGCTGGAATTAGATTTCCCTGCTCGAAACAAAGGATTAGCCTTTTCCACTTTACGGCAACACCTTCCAGAAAATGTCGTAGAGAGTATTAAAAATTTGAGCTTCATACTTGGAAAAAAAGTAAGATATTACTTTAAGCGAATTCTGTGCTAATGTTCATCTTTCAGTGTGTTGATGTGCTACTAACGCTGTCTAAGTTAACCTTCATATTTTAAAGGTGTTAATAGTTTTAGGCTACTTAGTGAATCAACTGAACTTTATAATGCTCCAAGTAAACGGGTCTTAAACTTATTACGTATTCGGCGTTTGCCATTGTACCCAACACATTTAAATGTGTTTATATTTCTTTGACAACATTATCGATTCAAAGTAGACTGTAATATAAATTTGGAGGATAATCTAGCTTGAAGCCCTATGTTCCACTGGGGAACGTGAAGGTTAAAAAAAATCTGTTTTCATCAAAGTTAACAGAATTTGACTTTATAAAATAAGTGTTTATGCGAGGTTATTACTATCTTATGGAATGTCTATATTTTTCAGTATTAAAATCACTTTTACAAAGCTGGTGAGCAGTGTAACATGTACAGGTTATCCTTAAGTTATCTTAAACCCCACTTTCAATGGTGTTGTTTTGGTTACAGTAATCGACTGTGTATTTGAGTTTTGTTTGTAGTGCAATGTTTATTCATATATATGTACCATAGGACACAATTTAGGTTTTATGTCAATATAGACTGCTAATAGGCATAGGATAAAGACTTCTAGGTCTTGGTTCAATGTTTCTCACATACCATTTAAGAAGATAGAATAGTTCAGGTAACCTCTTTTAGTTTCACAGGTAAACTGTTGCGAAACTATGACAGTGATTTCACTATGCATTAAAGTTGTTGAACGTTTAATAGGACGAATTATACGGTTATCTTTCCAGCACAACCAAACGACCTATTTAAGATGATGTAGTTTGGTAGTTCAGCACAGTTGAGCTTTCAGCTTTACGTTGTTTTACGTCTATGAGTGATAGAAATATGTATTGTGTATGTTATCTACGCGATTACTACACCGTCCACTTTTTTATTGTAAAAATGAAACTTATTTAAAGGCGAAATTCTTGTTACGTTGCCGGACCAATTGTTCATAATTGGCATCAAATCACCGAACAGTTTTTAAAGTGTTTGTATTCTTATGCTCAGATTATGAACGTGTTATTTGTTTTAGGGATATGTGTTCGATCTACCATCCGATCATGACGAGTTAGTGAAGTCATCCTGGCCAGATAATGCACAAGCCAAACTTTCTTTGCTTACTGAAATTCCAGAATTGGAACCTGAAGCTTTTAATCCGTCTTTCAATCAGGGGCGCTCAAACTATCGTGGAACATGGCAAAATCGATCAGATAACGGATCCTTCTCAGTTTCGAAACGTTCTTATAATAATGGTTCATACAGTGGACCTAAAAGTTCTAAATACATGAAATTTGGTGACGACTAAATATAGTAATGTAATTTGAAACCTTAAGATTTGACTTTTGTTTTATCCTTCATTTTGTTTTGAAAAGAGGAGTTGCGTTAGAAAATATTAAGAACTCGTTTTCTGTACAAAGCATCAAAAAGAACGAGAAACACTGTATAGACTACTTATAACTATGGAAATGGCGATTAAACGCAATAAATATAAGAACAGTACATGCTCACTGTGGTCAAATTTAGTTTTATGACAGCCTATGATTTGGAAACATTTATTTCCCGGTACTAACTTAAAACAAGCAACAAAAGGTAGTGAAGTAGGCTTTAATGAATTCATCAAAATTTCTGTAGAACTCTTCAGCTGGATACTGTACGTACAGGGACATAAAATTAAGATAAAATCCATTATGGTTCATTAAATCCCTTAAAGAAACAATTAGTTAATAGTGAGTGAAAGAACGTGAATATATCAAGAATTGCGAGGTAAATGATATTAGTGGTAATAATCAATAATTATAACGACTTAGTGTAACACTGTTGCATACTAATTAATATAGCCAAAATACTAATTCAGACATTTAGAAGAGAAAAAATAATTTGGGCAAATAATATTCTTTTCGATGAAGAAGGGCAGACGAAATTTTGCAGTATAAAATGATATCATTCTATTTCACACCTGCAGACTACCTGAAATAGATGATGATAGGGTACTATAATCGGTAGTAAAGAAGAAATACTATAAAACTGACGCATCCAAGATGTAATCATTTCAATTTCAAGTTTAGGTTTTCATCAATTTATACGCTTTTAAAGTAGAAAAAAGGGGAAGAGGTAAGACAGAAAACAGTAAAAATTAGCAAATAACGTTAGCTGGTAGGTTCACATAGCAAATCAAAAAAACAAAAACGGTCTATTAGATTGAGATTTGCTCAGTGAGTTGAGACCATTGAACTAGATGACTGATTAATGTAATCAAAAACAAAATTCAGTTACCAAGGGAGTGAGTGATCAGTCACACTATCTTTTTGCATCCATTAGTCTTGTTTGAATCGTTTTATTGTGATCGCTTCGGCTGTCCTTTGTCTATTTAATATTTTGAAGGACCTAGAAATCTTAACGAGATGACCAGTATCAACAGTATGTCTGGTAATTGCACTCTGAGAATATTTGATTCCTTTCAGGCACAAGTTTCTCGGAATATATTCAGAAAACCGGATAGAAGCCCTTCTTTCCGTCCTTCCAATGTACTTGCTCCCGCAAGTGCACGTAAATTCATAAACGCAGTTGGAGGTGACATCAGCAGGGTATTTATCCAGTTTTGAGTGGCTTATAGACGACGTGGTGCTGTATAGTGTTATGAGTTTTGCTGCCGGAAATCTTCTTTTTATTGCACCTTTCAGTCTTTTGTCAATCTTTTATGACACTGCATCTCCTTTCAATAAGAGACAAAGAAACACTTCTCAACAGTTGGGTATTTCGCTTTCTTATCTTTTTCTCTGGGTAGCCATTTTTTCTTAGGCATTTCTGGACGAAACCTAATTCTTCAACCTTGTTGGGTGAACATAACTTCCTGGCTCTGCCGTACAAAGTCTTCACTAATCCACACTTACAGCTTATGGGACAAAAGCTGTTATAGTGAAGATATTACCAAGTCCAGGTTTCTTTTCTGTAGATAAACCTTTCGATCGCACCATCGTTTGTTCTTTCTATATTGAACTCATTATTATGTTCATTTTCGATGGGGAATTCGATGTTTGGATGGGTCTCATCGAGGCGATCGTATAATACCGATGCGTGATTCATGTCGTTACAAACAACAAATGTGTCATCAACATATCGGCGATAGTAGGTCCCAGAGATAAGGCTTCCAATTCAGTTTCGCTTAATTGTAATTTTGATAGGTTAAAAACCTGCGGTTCAAGTGGTTCTGGGAATCCTTCAATTAGCTTTTCATTCACCAACGCTTTTCTCAGCTGAATTTCAAAATCTTCGGAAGTTTGAGACTGTTATTCCTTGACAAAATTCATGAGTTTAAGCCGGGAAATAACATTTACCTGAATCAGTAGCATAAAGTAGGCAGCCTAACGAGAATTCGAATCCCAGAGGTACTGGTAGGGGGATTCTATGTGAGAATTTGTTATTCGACAGAAACAATTTACCAAAACATCAAGTTAAGCAGAGAGGATTTCATAATAAGATCGATAATAAAAATATTCTCGACCGTACATTATATATATGCATATATATACATAAATATATTATTAAAGAAAAACAGGAATATTTAGTTCAAGCCAATAACGGATTTCTAATATGAGGAGGAAGGAAAAACACATGACCCTAATCTGTCTTTCATTTCTGCCACGCCCTGTGGAAATCAATGCATAGGAAATGAACGAAGGAGGTGCATCAAACCTGTTTGTGTTCATCGAGAAGTGGAAGTCGAGAAAGCTAGTAGGCCCACTCTACTAGACTGTTTTCAATGTCCAGAGATCTTGGAGATGCATCAGGATTACAAGAGGCTTTTCACGTGTTCAGTGTGAAGTCACTTTCTCCCACTACTCTCCGGGTGTGATTTGTAATGTGTGGTGTATTCGGCCACTAGTTATATGTCAGGCCTACACGGAAATACTGCTCAGATATTTTTGTGGTGCAGATCATGCTCGGCTGTAATGTGTTGCTGTCTTTTGTTCGAATTTGTTTTAAATCTTTACCTACAAATTGTTATTGCATCTATCTCTATATGTTCGGTGTGCTCAGTTCTTATCTCACTTGCTTCATGGTTCGGCATACAGTAGACATATATTGCGAAATAATGTCATTGATTAGTTCCTCTACAATCCTGTTACACCTAGTACGGTTGACAATTAATCAGTCATGAGAAATAAAAGTGCATATGAATAACCAATCATATTTTAATAGGTCAAGTAGTTCAGGTTAGGTATGGATTGAAGTCTATTGTTTTCTCTACAGATAGCTTGTGATTCACGTGATGAATGCAAAGTCCTGCGATCACCTGTAGTAACCTTGAGTTAATGTTATGTGAAATAATTGAGAAACAGTCATCAGTATTGATTTTTTGACGAGATATTAATAAATGTTTTGTAATGGATGATGTTGAACTTCTATTCAGATTAAGTGCATTTGGATTTTCTGTGTGACTTAATAACCAATTAGGAACATGTTCGTCCTGACAAAATTGGGACATTCTATGCGCTTTGCCTGTATATGTGTCCCCACAACTTCAGATCAATTTGTAGATGCAGAATTTCGTCCTGTAATCGTAGGAAGAGGAATTGAAAATGTTAAGAAGGGGATTCAGCATAGAATGTGTGCTTGATAGCTAACCGAAGCCTTTGAGCTGTCAGTTGCATGAGTTGATCACCTTTGAATGGCAGTTTAATAAAGGTTGCTGTCTTTTTTAAGGAAGCCATCTTCTCAAGGAGTAGCCTCTCTTTGTTTGGACATACAATATAGTTTTCAGGATATCCGTTAGCCAACAAAAGTGAATGCATGAATTGTAGTTCACCAGTTAATGTATCTTGCGGGTCCTTGGAAAGAGACACTTCACTGGGAAACGTTTGTACCAGACAGGAATAAAACTACTGAAATGAAGATATTGTTCCCTGCATGTAGGCTTGGATGATGAGTGAGTGATGTGTGGTTGTAGACCGTTGTCACGTCTGCTATTAATGAGAATGTTGTTTGTTTAAGACTCTTCTACCGAAGATATTTCTTGGTTGGTGAGTTAGAGAATTCTGTTGATGAATATATTGGTGATTATGTGAATGAATTTTTCCATTATCTTCAGGATGATGGAGCATGATGTCTTTTCAGGAGAAAAGAGGCTCTGGAGGTGGTGGGTGGTCAAATTGAGGTTGATTATTTGAAGTTTTGTGTATAGACAGAGGTGGGTGAGTTATTACATCTCTGTGTTGAATCATCTTTATCCTGATGAGCCTACAAATTAGATATCAGATGTTGAAGTAGAGTGAAATTTAAAGGTTATTGTGGCAATGAACTGCTCGTGTTTAAGATTAAAGAGAATGAGTAAAAAGAGAAATAATAGGTCAGGTCATCACTTTGATTGTTTGATTCCCGTGAATTCTGTTTTCGCAATTGCTTTGCTTTCATTGTTAGGGTGTTAGCAATTATAATTTACTATTTGATCAGACGTTTCTTCATATCTTTTGACTGATTAAGTTGGATTTCGTGCTGCGACACGCTTTTTAATTAACTAATTGTACGTTTTGAATGAGATAGACCACTGTAATTCAAGTTCAACATTCAGTAACTGAAGGACCAAAACTACAAGGGATACCGTTACTACAGATCAGATCAGAGCAAAATCGGAGACACTACGAGGTATCACTGAGGAAACCTGCGTGTCAGAACATTGGAACTAACTCTCTGAGGGTGATACTCAAGGAAACGTGTACAACTGTTCTAGGAAGAAGGAGGAGACAAGACAAGGAAAGGCTCTGAACGGACACCTACCTGGAAGCTAATAGAAGAGAGGAGAGGAGAGTATGATGGTGAAAGAGAAGATGACTCAATGCAAAGATGGACAACAGAGGGAGAAGCTGAGTTCCCAGCAATCTACACTGCTGCACTGAATCAAGAAAGACGTGAAGAAGAGTGCTAGGAAAGACGAAGGACAATTCTACAACACACTGTCCAGCAACTGAAGCAGAGCAGTCCGGCAGGCTGCAGGTAAAAGAGACCTGAGAATATGATATCAGATAACGAGGTCACTTGCTCGCTATCTGGGAAGAGATCAATCAATCCAGATGATGAGACCGATAAAAGATGTTCAAGGGAACCTGATTAGTAAGGAGGAGAAAGAAAGAAAACAATGGACTGATCACTTCGAAGCACTCTTGAGTAGACCATCATCCGCTACTCTCCCAGAAATACCACCAACAGCAATTGGTGTAGAACTGTTAGTAGACACCAATCCACCAACAAAAGCGGAAGTCTTGAATGCAATCAAGCTACTGAAGTCCTGCCGGGAAGGCAGCAGGACCAGATGGAGTCTCTCCTTGCCCAACGAAGCACTGAAAACGGACGTAGCGACTGCTCACGCCATTATTGAAAATGATTTGGAAGAAAGAAGAGGTACCTACCGATTGGAAGAAAGGCTGGCTACCTTGCCATGCTGAGAAAGAATGGCGACTCACGCCTCACTCTGCAAGAACTGACTGGCGTGGAATAGCGCTCTTGTCCACGTCAAGCA